CAAAAAAAATTTGGGTTTTTTTTTTTTTTTTTTTTTTTTTTTTTTTTATATATATAACATCAACACCATACCTCTGCCTATCCTAATTAAAATTTAAAGTAATATGTGTCCCATATACATGTGGTTCTGATGCAGTGCTGGACACTTATAATTAGTGAGCCATGCTAATTAAAAGCACCCGATACTGTACTGGGAGCAGGTGTATCAGTGTCACAGTGCGCATTAGTGCTGAGAAAATCACGGCAGTACACTTTGAACTAAAGCACATTGAATGTGTTTTAGTTCAAAGCGCACCATCAGCATTTCCTCAGGGCTGACATGTGCTGCACCGCTGTGCATGTGATGTGCAAGGCTGCCAGCACATGTCAACTTACATGCTCAAGCAGACTCGATTAATGTGCTGGATTTCCAGTGCATTGGAGCAGACTCCCCACATGTGTGTAAGTGCCCTTTGTTAGAAAGAGACCTTGGTCAAAAATTGCTTATTTTCATGAAACACTTTTAGAAGAATAATTTTTAGAAAAATATCAAATATTTTGGAAAAATACTATGTACTATATTTTTGATAATACTAAAAAAGTCATTTTTTTGTGAAATACCATTTTGTAATATGAAAAAATATAGAAAGTAGAACTGAACCAGTGTATATTAGGAGGATATGAACTGAAGAGAGGGTAATTTTTCCTGAATACACAAATATAATTTGTAATCTGAAAGTATTTTTTCCTTTTTAAGCTTGCTTTTTTGTGAAAAATTCCCATAAAATTTTAGAGGTGGGAAGTCATGCAAAAAAGCTGATAAAACATTCATCAGCAAACACTACTGTTAAAAGTTCACCATTTTTACTAAATGAAATTCTTAGACTGTATCTTTTCTCCCTTTAGCCAATTTGGATGAAAATATGAGGATATACTTAGCTAAATATCAGTATTATTGATCATAAAGTAAGCAGATGTCTATGCAATGTAAATTATTTCACTGATATCTATCTGAGCAGATGCTTATAACCAGACTGACTCTAGATATGAAATATCAGGTTCTTGTTTCCTGCTTTGTATTTTGATACCCGTGAACCATCCTATACTTCAGAAATGGAAAGCAACTAATGATAACATCTCCTGTCCATATGTACCTGAAAATTAGGGTTAGGATTGGAATAAGGCAGCCAGGCAGAGCGAGAGTTCTCCTGATATTTGAAGGGTCCATTGAAGGCCTGAGTTATGGCACTCAAGTTGAAAACACAAACTGCTGATGCTGCTATGCTGTTCCTGTAAAAGATTCCAAGAAAAAAAATTAAATAAAGGTATTGGGGAATCCATTTACTGACCATGAAAAACAATATTTCCCACTGCAACTCTAAAAGTACTTCAAAAGTTAACTCTGCAACGCTAGATGTTCTTAAAAAAACAGGAACGGATCAGCCAGAGGGTGGTCAGAACCAGAACACTCAGATGCTGTGAGGATTCAGCTCCTCTTAGGTTCTCATTGCGTTGGTTTTGAGAATGGTGCTTGCTTGGTAATTGGGAGACAGGGTAAATCCATGCATGAATTCAGCAGCCTCCATGACCACAAGTGGCAGCTTGTGCATGTCTCCTACCATGTGGATCAAGACCTTCATCTTCCAAGCACTTTATACTAACCCTATTCTGACAACACACCCAGGAAAGGGATCCAGAAAGTATTCATTTTATACTTTGTAAAACAAAAGCATAGAAACAAAACCCCAAACAAAAAATCTACCTTGTCCAGGATGATTGAGGGAGCCTGGGTTGATACTCAGGAGGTCCTGCAACCCAGTCCTGTTCTGATCGAACTACTTCATACACTTTTCCCCACCACTGGATTCCACATATCAAAGTCACTTTCTTTAGCTAAGGAGGGGTAGATTGGATTAGTCTTCCTGTCCATTAATGAGATAATGCACTGAGATAATGGCACAGCCTGACACTTCTTAGTTCCTCTAGAATCTGGATTAAGCCTGTGGAGAGCTGAACTAAACCTAGATCTTCCAAGGCTAAGTACAGACAGTCAAAAAGTCTGAGGCAGGATACACTAAGTTATGTAGATTGAACTGATAGGCAAGTGAGCAGACATTCACTTTTGATTCCCAGGTTGCAGCCACATGCCTTGCAATGGATCAGGCCAGAAGCTGGGAGGCACTAAAGCATGTCTTCCTGCTTGGCTGGAGTAGATAGCTTGGGCCAACCCTAGTCCACTCACCCTGCAAGGGGGTGGGGGGAGGGGGTTACAAGGAAGGTGCAAAGCATCCTGGAATGTGGGGGGACTAAGTTAACTTGAATCTGGAGGGTATCTGGGACAGAAGTTCAATAAATCAATTTATAGGGCTGTGCAAAACACCATTGTTTTGTTTTGATATCTGTTTCACAGCCCCATGGAGCACAGCCCAGTGGCAGAAGGTGGGCAGAGCCAGGGCTGCACTCTGCCTTCCACCACCAGGCTGAGCTTCATGGGGCTCCACAACCCCATGGAGTACAGCCCAGTGGCAGGAGGCAGGCAGAGCCAGGACTCTGCTCCGATCAGCTCCACCAGTACCATGTAGCTCAGACTGGTGGGGGGGGGGGCAGGAAGAGTCAGGACTGCGCTCCACCTCCTGCCACTGGGCTGAGCTCCATGGGGCTGCAGAGCTGCTTGGAGTTCACCCCTGACTCTCCCCTGCCTTCCACCACTGGGTTGTTTCAAAACTCAAAACGTTTCGAGTGTCTTTATTTTATTTTAAAGGTGTTTCAAAGCTTTTTGTTTCATTTCGATTTCACTGTTTCAAGCTTGAAACACATCAAAACAGCTTTGAAATGAAACACTCATTGAAATTTCGCACAGCCCTACCAATTTAATCTAAATCAGTTAAGTCTGATACTACATCCCTCCAAATGACCTTAAACTTGTTTCAGCCATTTTGAAAGCAGCTTGGCTAGGGACAGCCATTACATATGAACCAGTTTAAGTGATCAGAAACGGGTTTAAACCTGTAATAGAATACAAGTTCAGTGCATATAAACCAGCTTTAAAATGGCTGAAACTGGTTTAAGATAACTTGGTTGAATGTAGTATCAGACTTAATTGATTTGGGTCAAATTGGTTTATGCAATGTCTGTCCCAGACCCTTCCTAGTTTAAGTTAAACCACAGTCCCCTCAGCATCCCAGCTGCTTTGCAGCCCTGGGCTGTGCTGTCTGCTCCAGAGAACAAAGCTGGCCCTGCCCCTCTTTTCCTAGCCATGGCTCCAACAGAGACTGCAGGTGTGTGTGTCTCCAATTTCACTGGGACAGGCAGACAGAACAGTGTCTGCTTAAGACTTTTTGGAGCTAATCAACAGGTCAACTGGTAATGTACTCCCATTCCTTCCTTGGAAAAATCTGTTTAAGAAGAGATTGAACTAATGAGAGAGGCTTCTGTTTTACTGATGGGCTGATAAACACTGCTATCAGCCTCCTGCTGGCTCCCTCACCTGTCAGATCTGCAGACAGTATGAAGAAGCAGGGAGAGGCAGATTGAAAAGCTCAGTATCATCAACAGATACATGCATTGCACACACACACCCTTTGCCTCAGAGTGCTAGCCTGGAGGTGGGGTCTGGCAACACTCCCGCCCCTGAGCAGCTAGCAGGGAAAAGCCTGAGACAGTGCAGGAAGGGTGGGGGTTTACACCCTTTTCTAATCAGAGCATCCTACTGGGGCCAGGCCATTCCCTTCCCCTGCCCCCGCCCCCCCAGCTCAGCACTGTGGAATGAAAGAGAGGAATAATCTAGCGCCCCCCAGCTTTTAGCCTAAGGCACTGCAGGCATGTGCCAGTATTTCCTCAGTCCAGAAAGAATGTCTGTCTGTGCAAACTGGTTCAACCTAGCCAGGTTAGACTAACCTGAGAAGATTGAATCAGTTCAGGCTCAGGCTTTTTGAATGCCTGTCCCTAGCTTTTACGTGCACCAAACTTCCGTTGTGTTACAGATTTGAACTGATTTCAGTCACTTATACCAGTCTATGTGCAATTTCTGTCCCTAGCCCAAATGACAATATGTGGCATTCCCAACATGCCTCACAAGTGCCAGATGACTAGCAGAAGGAAATAAATGACCAGGTAATTTTAACTTAACACAATGTAAGCTCACACACTTAAATAACTAAGCACTAGTCAGGCAAATCGTTCCAGTCTCCTCTACTGATATTGAAATATAACATATGTGCAGTTTACTAAGTTTATATTGTGAGAACATAATTCTGAGTATCGTGACTATCAGAATTTCTAATATAGGACTCAATAGCAAATTACTATTTTGCAATGACATGAAGACATAACTAAAATTACCTCTAAAAAAAGTGCAGCACTTGGGATTTATAAAATATCTGTAAAAATGCCTTTAACAGGAGCAAAACAAATAGAATGTTCAACAGCTAACAGTAAATTAAGGTCTGGAATTGCTCTCCTAACAATGCACATAACTCCCGGGATTAAACTCCTGAGCTGTCCCTTTTCACAATGTTAGATAAATGGATAGATAATGAAGCTGGCAGACAGTTCCACAAACTTCCACTGTGGGCAAAACTGCTGACAACTGATCCACATAGCATTATCTCTTCATAATACTCTGCTGTTTAAATAAGGTATTAGAAAGCAAAATCTACTGTAGAAGCTTCAAATTGATATTTTACAAACTTACAGGGAAAAGAAAATAATCCCTGGGGATCCAATCTGCCAACAACAAAACAAACATCAAACTACCCTGACAAAAGAGCACTTTGCTTCCTTCTATTTGCCCATGTTATGGCAAAAACCCAAAACCTAGTGCATGAAAGGAAATTTTATATTATGAACATGTGCAGAAACAATTAGTCTCAAATGTGATAAAACCTTGTTGACATAAAGTGCCATAACAGGCAACTCACTCGTAATATTTGCAATGGCACTGTGATTGCTATTGTATGAAAGAAGTAAAATTGTCCCCTTTGTGGACCTGCAGTGGTACTGGAGTCAGTGGTCACAGCAAACAAAGGGGGAGGATTTTGCTATGAGTCTCAGTTTTTACAAAGAGAAACATTTAACTTTTTCCCCATCAAGTGTTTTACAGTACTTTTAAACAACCACTGGGGCCAATTTTCCAAATAATTCAGGCAAAAATCACTGTACGTGTAAGGAACGCTGAGTGTAGCCCAGTAGGACACAGTGTGCTCCCACCATTTACACTGATGGAAATAAATGCATTCTGGACACTCTCTAGTAAAGCACTTAAATCTTCCACAGGCAGATTGCAGGTTTGAAGTTCTTTGGGTCATATAGGGACAAGATGGCCAACAACCACTGCCCAGTAGGTAAGAGCTCTGGCAGGGAAAAGCAGCTGTGGAGTTATTCAGTGTAAAACCCCAATATTTTGTAAACAAATTGCATGAGTAGATAAACAACATATTGGTATTTTTCACTGACATTTTTCAGAGGAAAAAAATTCTTAAGCAAAAAAATTCTATAATGATCTGATGAGGTTCTACGTGCAGCTTTGGTTATCCTGGGACACAGCCTCCTACACAGCCACCAGAAGCAGCAACTTTAAACAAAGCCTGCTTTCATGTGGAAAAGGTGACCCCAAGGGTGGAGTCGTTTCTAATTCTCCCTTTCCAGATCCTCAGAAAATATATCATTTGTAGATCATGCCACTTTACCACACTGTGAAATGGCAAACTCTTCTGATCTGGGGGTGAGGGGGAATGAGCTCCAAGTTCATAAGAGGATCCTCATGATGGTTTTGGAATAGTATTCCTCTCTTGTGGGTTTCTTTTCCCAATGGAAGAGGAGTGTTGATGCCTTAAAGTCTATGTGGAGCTATCATGTAGTGATGTGTTGAACCCTGCCATAGAACATCAGCTATGCAAGAAATGTCTGTGGCAACTGGTAGCAGTTAGTGAAACAAAGAGGCAGATTCAGAAACTAGTCATTTAAAAGGAAAAAATCATCCATCTTGTCCCTACCCAACACTCCCAGCCCCCAGATTATTATTTTAAAAAAGCAACTCTCAGAGCCAGATCAAACCCAAACCAAATCTTAGATAGTGTGATTTTAGAGGAATTTAGAACCCTAAGTCCAAGGAGCCAGTCCTCAAAACCCTGCCTAAGTAGGGTGACCACCCATCCCCAATTGGGTGGGATAGTCCCAAAATGTAAACACCAAGTCTTGGTCCCAGATGGAATGACTCCAGGACAGCATTTGTCCTGGGTTCCTCTCAGCACAGTTCCCATGTCACTCCCTCCCCCTTCTCTCCCCTTCCCCCAACTTCTAGGGCTCTGCCCCCCTGGCTGCACGTGTCATTCAGAGACGTCACAAAGTCTGAGGTCCTGCCCCCAACATGCTCCAAAAGCATGAACCCACCTTCAGAATGCCCTCCCCTCAAGTGAAAGTGGTGCTTGCCCCCGCTCCTACCATGTGCACATGTGCAGGGCTGGGGAGGAAGGGCAGCCAGCTGTCCTCAAGCCTCCTTCACTCCTCCAGCTGTCCCCATTGGTGCCCTATGTCACCACCCCACCACACTCACTTCTTGTTGTAGAGCTCCTACAGGCAACGCCAGTGGTATAATACTGTCCCTTCCCCCCATTTCTTTTTTAAATGGCATGCGTCCTGTTTTTGCACTTTGAAAAGATGGTTACCCTATGACTACGTGCTCAGGCACCTAAGAGTCCATAAGCACCTAGTTTTCACCAGCAGAGCTCCTCAGATACCTAATGTTCTGCTACTGTGCATGTGCAGAGTTACCACTATCCTGGCTGAGCTGAGCATCTTGGTGACTAAGCTTCACAAACTTGTCATCCTGGTGTTCATGTCCTGAGAGTCTGAAACCTGCTCTGAGCATATCTAACACACATGGACAGTCCTCAGTTTACTGCAAATCACAGCAACTTTCTCTCAGACATGGGGGGAGTCAAGGACGTGGCCACCTTATATAAATGACCAGCTATTTAGAGCACTACTTCAGGACATGGGAGATTTGGATTCCACCCCTCCTGTACCTGAGACAGCTCAAGCCTATACCTTCCACCTCCCTGCTCTCAGAACAGTGCCCTGACCACCAGGTTGGCCTGGGCTGGGGTATTCTCCACAGTCAGAAATGCAAGTCTTACGGACCTAAGAGGAAAGCAAGCAAGAGGGAGCCCAAGAAGCAGCCCAAGCAGTGGGGAATCTTGAGTTCTGGTCTCTGCTCCCAAAACTCATTAAAAAGTCATTAGAAAAAATGCATGAGCAGCACCTGGGAGAAGCCGGCAGGAAACGGCTCTCATTACTGGGCTAGAGATAGGCTCCCACCTGTTTGCTGCATCTCTCATCCCACAAACCTACCCTTCTTGGTTGTAAAATTTTAACCAGATGGGGGCAAAATGCTCCTATCCCAGCCTGGCTTGGCCACACTAGAGGTTGGATGTTCATGCAGGCACTGAATTTGGGTCTACAAGGAAATGGAGGAAGTTATAACAACTAGGCTATTACATTTATGTGTATATTGCACACCCCTGAAGAAGTCACGCGCCATGTTTTGGAATGGCAGAGTGAAGAAAAAATAGATTTTTCCAGTCTTCCCTGCCTTGCCCCCAGCTCAGCCAAGGCTGAACCCTCCAGTGGCATGGAGCAGAGGTACAGCCTCATACTCAGCATCACTTCCCCTTCATCTCCCACTGCTGTTCAGCCAACCATCTACTGCCAAGTTGACAGCTGCTGTTAGACAATTAAACCAATAGCTGGCAGTCCTAGAGCAGGGGAACAGGGAGTGATGCTGAGGATGGGAGTCTGCCCCTGCTCCATGAGGTTGGAGGGTTCAGTTCTGGCTGGCCTCCTGCCTCATCCTAATATGAAAATCAGTTTTAGATGGATGATTTTGGGGAAAGGGTAGGTGAATAAATATGGCCTCTAAAAAGGTGAGGTCTGTTTCAGCTGTTTTAAAATAAAAAAGACAAAGGAATAGCTAAGGTGCCTTTATCAGGAGACGGCTCCTGGCTGTGAATTCCAGTCTCATACAAACGTCTAATTCAGGTTTGGGGATATAAGTGGATAAGCTCTGCAGAAAGATGGTATTTTAGGCACAGCCCTTTTCTTCAGCATTTCCTACTGGCTGTCTCAGGATTCTGAGTGTTATGAATAGTATCTCTTGATGCCTAGCTCTCCGATCACTGCATAGGAAACTCAGGTACGTAACTTGGGTTTGTGACTCCTAGAATTAAATGCTGAGTGTTGACATTCCTAAGTCTCTGTAGAATGCAGCCCTTGCTCATATATACTACCTTTAGCTCAAAACACACACAAAAAGTATAAAAAATATTGTCCCTGTGTTATAGTTGGAAAATCTGAGACAGAGAAGCAAAATGCCAGATTTTTAAAGGCATTTGAGCACTTAAAGATACAGTTAGGTGCATCTATCTCCATTTTTAGGTATCTAAATACTTTTAAAAACCTGGCTGAAAATGACTTATGCCATAGCCGCACAGCAAATGAGTCTAGAACTGGGAAAACAGCTCAACGCTCCTGACATTTCACATCAGTGCCCAGTGCCATACCTAGACTCCTGCCAGTCCTGTGCAAACTTTTAGTATCAGGGCCCCCCTTTGCCAGAGATAATGTTTTTTTGTCACAAAAGTCTTCATCACATCTTTCGTTTCAATGTCTTTAAATAGTTCGCTCTCAATTGATAACATTGCCAGTCCTGTATATGCACAATATTAAAATTTTTTTTTGCAATCGTAATTTTTTTTCATTTTTGGGCCCCCTTTTTGTCCAGGCCCTGTGCAGCTGCCCGGTTTGCTCATGCCTGTGTCCGGGTCTTCCAGTGTCCCACATACTGGAGCAGGCTGCTATGCGCAAGCTCCCAACAACCTTAAAGGTGCCAAAACTCTTTCAAGGTACTTAAACCGTAATTCTGAACTACTTTATTTTGACATGTTAGCAAGTTCATTTCCCAACTGTCAGAAATGGAAAAATTTTTTTTGTTTTTTTAATATTGATAAGGTCTTGACATTTGTTTGAGATTCTTTTTTTAAATTATTTGCTAACGTTAACAATTACATTTTTACTTTTTTATATAATAATGGAGCTTTAGACTTGATTAAGATTTCTTTCTGGGACTCAAACAAATATTAAAACTGGCTGCAAGATCGTTTGGAATAACTTATACCAGATTCCAGTGCTGCTAAAATCATAGAAAACAGCACTTTTTAGCAAAATGAGCAATGATCTTGTTATGCTCAAAAATGAGCCAATAACTAAAATGTTTTTCTATAGCTACATTTAATGTTGTATTCCACTAAGAATATCTTCTTCCCCTTTTGACCTTTCCCCTTGCCAAGCTCCACAAAACAGGTGATATTTTCCTTACTACAGCAAGATGGCAATGCAAATCTTAGGCCTGTCTATATGGTACACATATTATGCAATTACCTGGTTAATTGTACAATTAATTTAGACTGGCTACACATGCAAATTAACTACAGTGCTTTAAAAATATCCAGTCAGCTATAAAGTTATTGCTGGAAACTGTGTAATAACTTTATAGCTGGCCTGTGCCCCCATGGGTGGGAATCCTATTAGCTGATCAGAGCTCCCAGCTGTGGAGACCCATGTGCACTCCAGAGCCTGGGAGATTTGAGCTGATGTTGGCTCCCAACCATGGGAGCATATATCCTGGGAGTCCAATCAGCTGACAGGGCTCCTAGCCTCAGAGTGCCCCACACATTCTTGTTCTGGGAGACCACAGCTGCTGTCATCTTTCAACTGTGGAGGTACACCCTATGGCTCGGAGACTACAGCTGGGAGACCCACATATCCCCACAGCCAGGAGACCAGCTGCTGCACAATCCTAGCCATGGGGGCATCCCATGCACCCCTGTGGCTGGGAGCCCAGTTGCTGCAATCTCCCAGCTGTGGGGGTGAGCGGTTGAAGCTAAGAGATTGTAGCAGCTAATCTCCCAACCATGAGGATCTCCCAGCTGTGGCAGTATGTGGGTCTGCCAGCTATGGTCTCCCAACCACGAGGGTATATATGGTGTACCCCTGGAACTAGAAGACTGCAGCAGCTGCGGTCTCCCAGCAACAGGGATGTGTGGAGCACCCCCATGCCTGGGAGCCCTGTCAGCTGAGGAGCCTCCTAGCAATGGGAACTTGCTTCTTGCCGGTGCAGGCGGAGCCTGGGATCAATGGGATGTTGAGATCTGATTTGCAATCCCACGATCACGCCTTCTGCCATGCACACGTGGCATGACCAGAGTTGTGATTGCGTGGATTGTGATTAGATCCCATTACACATTTACCTGCATATGTAGAGGGGCCCTTAAGGGCAAAGCTTGCCTGTGTTGAGAGCACACTCCACAGAAGCTCACATCTGAAGCATTTGACCTTGCTCATTCTTTGCTGAAGGCAAGGCACCTTCAGATGGGTCACTGGTTTGAAGCACTTTGGTTATTTTTGTAATCTCTTTACTCTCTATCCAGTCCATTAACACAAGAACAGGACATCTTTGGACCCTTCACACACACACACTGCAATATAGTAATGTGGAATAAGGGGAGTGTGTATGTGGACATTTTAAAAATGTTTCATTTGTTAAATACTATGCAATTTACATACACATTAGTGGTAAAGATTCCGTAGATCAAGTCCAATTCTGGCAAGAAGAAAGTACTTTGTAGCTCGTTGTAGTAAAATGGAATTTCTCCAGGGCGCGAGCAGTTCAGACGAGCCTTCATAAAAGTGGTCCAAGTATCCTCCAGCAAAAATCTGCCACCAATATCATTCTTGCAGACCCGAGCAGCCCGAGAGAACACAGTTTTCCCACAGTCATGCTCCACTGCATTCTCTCGAAAGAAGAAGTAGGTGAAGTTCCCAATGTCATAGGATGAGACAAAATTTGGCTCTGAAAACAGTTGGAGAAAAAAAGGAAATAGATATCATGTACAGTTGATACATATGCTTGTCCTTACATGGAAGCTAGGTTTTCACCAAATACAGAAGCAAGACAAAGCATATGTTTTTAAATCCGAACATTATTGCTATTTTTCTGTGATGAAATAAAGGAAATGACAATGATGCTGATGTAGACATCCTACAGTTCTGCATTTCTGGACATTCCAGGCAGAGTACAGAAAAGGTAGTTACTGAATACATGACTGCAAAAACCTAACAACTTCTAATCATAGTTTGGTGTAGGAAACCAGATCTTGACAAGCATGTGAGTCTATTTCACCCTAGTCAGAAAGGGTTTGAGCTTGTACTCATTGACAAAATTGGTAAAATTCCCACTGATTTCAGTGTAGCAGTTAAGCAAGTACTTGTTTGCTTGGATGACAAAGAAGGAACTGTTGAATTGAGACTAACTCCATTAAAACTTGCAATAATTTTGGACTATTTTTGTTGTTGTCTTCTTTTCTTTTTTAAAAAAAAACAAATATTGATGCAACAGACTTAACTTGGCAGCAAAAGTGAAAACATGATAGAGAAATCAGACAATACAAAAAAGTAATCTAAGAAATCAGAAACTAAGGAATAAACTACTGCAAGAAAAAGTGAAGTCAGAAATTATGGACAGCAGAAATAATGGGCATATGGCACATTTCCTGTAGGGTTTACTAAGGTTGAATAGTATCCAGGTTGTTGAAGGAGGCTGACAATTTGCTGAGTTTTTTAAAAGAAAAGACAAATTAGATATATGGTCTCTAGAGAAAAAAAGGCTAATTGTAAAATGCTGATGTTCCTAGAGTGGGAATGGGGTAAGAGTTCTTGCTTTCAATTCCAATATTCATTCTAAAAGCCTTTATCTGAATGTTGTCTATGATGCACGTCACTCAAATAACTTTATTAAGTAGATCTGGGTGAATGTTTTTCAGCAGAAAATGCTTGTACTGGAAGATGCTGACTGGACACAATTCCATCAAAAGTTTTGCCTGAAACCACCTGACAGCACATTAGACTCCCACACTCCCTGCCCCTCTGCCAATCCTCCTGGTAGCCTGCTGGACTGCCTTGCTCCTAGGTTCCTCTGGTTCCCCATAGCTTGCCTGGAAGGCTACCAGGCTCTGATGCAGCCTGTTTCCCTAGGTGAACAGCTCCCTGGCACCTGCCTACCTAGTGAGGGAGAGGCAGGCCACACAGCTCCCAGCTAGCTTGTTTGACTTTCTGACTAGCCAGTTTGCCTGATGGTGGGCTGCCAGGCTCCTTAAACCGGATGTCCATTTTCTTACAGTCCAGCTAGTCTCCCAAGCCTGACCACAATGTGCTTCTACATCATGGAAGGCAGCTGGCTGCCCAGATCCCAGGACTATTCAGTTCAGCCAATGAGCAGAACTACCAACTGACCAGCTTCCCAACTGGCTGTCTACCTGTCAGACTGCCAGGTTCAGTGGCCACCAACTCCCCAAGTCTGGAGGCTACCATGTTCCTTGGATGACTGGTTCTTCCCAGGCAGTCAACTCTCTGGCCAGGCAACTGTTACCTACCCAGGCATCCAGGCAACATGGCTGTTTGACTGGTTAGTGGGAGACTGGGTAGTTTGAAGCCCTGCATCCCATCTGGTGAACAGACATGGAGCCAGGCAGACCGAGGAGCTTTGAGGAACATGCTTTGTGTTGGCAAGAATTTCAGTCCTACAAAATTCTGAACTCTTGTTTTGATTTGGGATCATTGTTAAAAAATTTTTTTCCCCCATGGGATAGAAATATCATTTTCCAGGCAGCTTTACTGACAAATGCCTCCCACATATCCTTCTCACTTGATCCTTCTTTCTATCTCTTGTCCAATATTCATTCTTTGTCTCTCTCAACCTCCTATGATAACTATCTCCTTGTTTGGTCCTAAAGCTCTTGTACTGAACATAGGTCCAGATCCTATTTTGTCTATTAGATGCCTAAGTGTATGTAGGATGCTAAGAGTAATTGGATTCCATCCTGCTCAACTCCCTGAAATACGTCAATGCACCCACATTGTAACACACCATTATCTTAGCCTCAAGACTAAGCCACAAAAAGCAGTAAAAGAGGAGGAGGACCCAGCCACCTCTTGCATCAGTGACTAGAGCCAGGTAGAATAAGGTCACGGTTCAGTTGACTGGATTAAGCCCATAATATCCATGACTTTGGATGCGCTTACACAGCCCTGATGGTGACGCTGCTACTGTGCCATGCTTTAGTACTTCCTAAAGGTAGTGTGCCATGCTTTAGCAACTGCCTGTACTATTCCATGCATGAGGCAGGCAGTTAGTTTGTGCTGTTACTTTGATGTACTGGCAAACAGGGGAGTGCACCACTACGGTGAAGGAGCTGTCAGTCATGTGTAGATTCACATGATCGCTACGTTGCCATAACATGTTGTATGGTGATGTAGGGTGATGTGTAGATGCACCCTTTGAGTTCTAAAATCTGAGACTAAAGAAGTGAAACGAGAACAACATGGAAATAGAAGTAAAGCTGGCATCATGTACAACACAAGACAAAGAGGTAGGTATTAGTAATGATAATGATTACTCTATTAGAGCCCTATGGGTGTGTCTCTATATTCATTAATGCACAGTAGTTTCTGTGCATTTAATTTAGTACTCACTTAATGAAGTACTAACTAAACACAAAGTAACTTGTGCTACTGTGCAGTAGCACTGGTGCATGGGTTTTTAGTGATGCTTACTGTGCAGCAGCCTAATACTACTGCACAGTAGCAAATTAACATGGTTTTTGCCCAGCACACTACTGCACAGCTTTATTAGGCTTCTGCACATTAAGTGCATGTAGACGCGCCCTGTATATTCAGACCACTTACATACAAAATTCACATTACAATCAACAGATCTGCATTCCAAGGAAAGCAAGATGGGAACTTAACTTGTGTTTTCCCAGCACTTACACATTCTCCATGCCACTGTTACAAAATAATAATTATTTTCTATTTCCAAGAGCACACTTAATATGCTTTTCACTGTGCAAACACAAAAAAATTCAGTGTCAATGGCTTAAAAGGCTTAACACTTTACTGTTAGAGTTCATATCTGTAGAAATTACACTTAGGTATTTATGCGCACTCATTCTTTAGAGATAGAAATATAATACGTATGTATTCTGAACATTATAAGTGGAGGGAAATGAAATGAGTATTTAAAAACTCAAACTTCCTTCAGTTGCTTTTTCTGTAAAAATGTGAAAGACGAAGATAAAGATACAGCTGTTATCTGACAAACATTTAAACACCCCTTTCTGGGGGATGACTTGGATGGCCTACTCTAAAGCTGAAATCAGAAATTGATGCTAAAACCTTTACGACATACCATACCTCCCATATTAGACAGGTTAATCAGTTTGAGCAGATGTTAAATATACATACAAATATGCAAGTTTACTTATATATTGTTTTTCTGATTTATAAACATAAGTTGTCTTTCATCCACTCCTAAAAGGCATCACAATTTCCAGTTCTATGGGACAAACGTCGCACTACTCCTTCACTAAAAGTGACTCATCTTAAAGTACATTTAGGAATGTCAGGCTAATAGGGATAAAAACACTGCTTCTCATTGCCTGACTTCAATCTATATCTGTAACATATCTATTCACTGCTTCTGTTAAACTGTAATGGGTATAAAAGATAACCTTGGACCTCCATTACCATGTAATGGATGAGGTTACCTCCCCACCCCATTATCGTTACAAAATGTTCTAATACTCAGGAGAGGGACTACTGCCTGGAATGAAAAAAGATTCAGCAATCTGGATGAAATTTAGGCTATTTGTGTACAGTAGAAAGGTTTAGTCCTATTTAAGTCAATATCCACTAATGGCGTGTAGAAAGGAACAAACCTCATGAGACAGGATGAAAAAGAAGGACTTTCAAACTGTGTTTGACTTTTTACAGTCTAGAAGCCCACTTGTTCTTTTAACCTGCTCAGCAGTATCATGACTGAGCTATAACACTTTTCCCTTACTTATTGCACAAATCCTAACCATGTAGACTCCTTCATTTTTTCCCCCTAAAATATATTTGTGGGAAAATTAACCACTAAGGCCCTGGTCTGGACTGGACCAGCTGAGACTTCTAGCTGCCCAGTGACTTCAACAGAAATCTATGTGAACAGACAAAGACCTGAATGCAGGATCAGGGACACACAAAACTGTATTAAAAGTGCTGGAAGTATAAGTGGTGGACAGCTGCTTAGCAGCTCATAACTGTTAGGACTTAAAAAGTTCCATAAGAAGGAGCATAACTGTTTTCATTCTCCAGCAACAAACCCATGTAATTTTTTTTTCTGGGCAGCATTTTTTAACGTTATATATAATGCATGAAGTATATGAACGTACACATTTATACATTTATATATGCATACAGACATGCATGTACATATATATGTATTTGTGTATATGAATATAAATTAATGTGAGGGGGCAGGGAAAATAAATGAAAACACCTGTGTGCATATGCTTTGCTGATTATGAATTGATAAAAATGTGACCTGCTGTTGAAATTTGTAAAAGCTGTTCCTATTTGCATGACATGTATTCATGCTCTCACCCCTCAGGGGATCCATGGATATGGAGGGATTATCCTGTCAGACTTTATTTCAATTGATTTTTTGGAAGAAAATGGATTGAGTAGCTTTGGAGTTTCAGGGAGAAAAAAATGGGATATTCTTGTCCAGGAAAAAATGAGTTCATAGGTTCTCTGTTATTGCAGAGAACTCAAATCTATCAGTGTGGAGGCCATCCAGCCAAACTTTGTAATGTAAGAGATGAAGTTCCTCTTTTATTGCTATATTTACAGATAGTTCTAAAAGGACAAATATATATCTTTCAATTTTGAAGGTGATTAGTCACATTATTTGGGTACAAGATGTGTGTTAAGCAAGCACAGAGTTGCTGTGGTATAATCTAAGAATACTGA